TCTCAAGGATGAAGGACCACCGCCTCCCTAAAATCGTGCTTTATGGTGAACTTGCCAGTGGCTGCCACAAGAGAGGAGCCCCGAAAAGGAGATACAAGGACTCCCTGAAAAAACATCTCAGCCTTGGCCATATTGATCTTCATCACTGGTCTACTCTGGCCTCCAATTGGGAGGCCTGGAGACACACTATCTATAACACTGCTGATTCTTTTGAGAACACACGCAGGATCACTCTCGAGGAGAAAAGACAATGCAGAAAGAGTCGTGTCTTGCCGATACCATCCAAGGAGTCTTTCTGCTGTGCCTTTTGCAACCGGACTTGTCTATCTCACATTGGCCTCTTTAGCCACCAGTGAGCCTGTAGCAAATGTGGGTAGAGCCCTTCCCAAATCTTCATTTGCGAAGCCTAGCCATGAGGATTTCTTCTGTAAATTCAAACGATTTTCTGTTCATGACAATTTTTGTCATGTCATGCAATTCTCCCTTTTAGGTACCTGTGGCTGTTGCAGGTGTCTAGAAACAATCTCTTCCATTTTGCCTTTGGTCAAAGTTAATGTGGCGAGGCCTCTGCTCCTTTGCAAAGTGCACTGGGGATCATGCAGATGTCATTTTACTTACAACAGTAATGTGTCATCTAAACCTTTCATTGCAAACAGAATGTCTCTTTTACTGTTCTCCTACTGTTGCTTTGTTAATATTTTGTTTAAAACCAAAGACTATAGACTTCTAAAATTTTTAATTTCATGTCTTGAGTGCTGCGGTGTAATCATTTTATGGTTGTATCTCATGCTACCTGGCAGGTAAAGATGATGAAAATGGTCTCAGGCAGTGTGCCCAGAAGGAGAAACTGTGGCAAAATCTAAACTAGCTTGAATCCAAAGCATATGTTTGCATAGGCAGGCCAAGGCAAAGTGTTTAGAAGGAACTAAGGTATATGGAGGTCTTGAAGACTTCAGAAACAAATTCAGCTTGACAGAGAAATTTTCAACAGCAGACACATGAAATTCTGAGTTGGAGAGAGTTATGACAGTCAAAGACTGAACCACAATACCTTTAGAACACTATCGTACATTCTGATATGCCCCTCCTAATTGGCACAGACATTTCCTAAAAGCCATCACTTTTAAGCCAACAGACTGATATTCACAACAGGTCACTGCTCTACTCCAGAAGAATAGTTTGTCTTTAGTGCAGCAATAATGATAATATTTACATTAAAATTAACTGAAAGATTTTTCTGTTCTTCACCTCAGATAAAACTTCCTAAGGAATTGCTCAATTTTCCAGGATTCCAGCTTTAGAATTATGCACAATGAGACACATGACTCAATTAAACCCTCAGCCTATCAGGTGCTAATGCTTATTATAGAAACAGTTTTTCTGTACTGCATCATTCATTGTGATGTGACAAAGCAGTTCACTACATCACTTACAAAAATAGTATATAAAATGCAAAGAACCTGAAAGGACCACAGTCAAAAGATGGTGGGATGGAGACAATGGTGTACACAGCAGGCAGTGTAGAGAGAAAGAGGATGAAAAGCAGCATGGCCATGTAGAAGTTATTGGATCTGGAAGCCTTGAAGACCCTCTCTTGGGGGACATTGCAGCACATCACCGCCCAGCACTGCAGGTACATCGATGTATGGAGGCGAAACACATTGATTGCTGGGAGACATGGAGCATAAAAAGATCCCATCCTAGAAAAGAAGCAAATAAAAAAATAACCACTTTGTTATACAACTTCTGTCTTCCTAGATATACCAGCCATTCGCTATGTCAATGTGCTTTGTAACCATACACACTGTGCAATCAGAAATTCATAAAACTGTCTTTCTGGGGTTTTCTTACTGGTCTTTGTTCTTTTTTTAAGAAGAACTGGAGAGAATTCTCTATATGAACCTTTTGTTTCAAAGTCCTCTTTCTCTGCAAATTAAATGATCACTTGATGAAATGTTATTCACTCTTAATTTGTCTGGCAGCATCTTGCTTGTTTTGTGTAAAAACTAAGTATTATCAACCCCAACAGCTAGGAGTAAACAAAATAATTTAGTTTATACTTTATTATTTTTTTAATATACTAACACTATTTTAGGAAGGATATCTTTACTTAGTTGACATTTATTTTAACTTCTGTTGTCATGGTAATTTAGTGTTTTAGGCCAACAATCTGTTTATAGATTCTGCTAAACATTGTTTTTCCCCTATTATATGTGGTTGCATGGTGCTCACACTGACACAGTTGGCACCATTTTACTTTTATCATACTTTGTTTCTTCTGTCATGCTGACTGAAGAGCAGATACATTCATTTGCTTGGCCCTTCCTTCTATTCTGTTTCAGATGAGAAGAAACATGCAAAACAGAATTTACAAAGCTCAAATAAAAGAGAAGCTAATTTATCTTACACGTGTATTAATGATAAACATGTTTCAGGCAATGTATGCTTATTATAATTCAGTCAATCTTTTTTTACTTATCTGATGTATTTGATTCAGTTAAAATCATCAGATATTATTTTGAAAAACACCACAGCTCTATTGCCTTAGCCCTGCAAATATGAATTAGCATGAAAATGTGGCCCCAGCTCTGCAATAAACAGTAAAATAAAGGATTCTGTATCTAAATAGCATCACAAAAGCACAAGTCCCAGTTTTGGTGCCAGACAGTATATATTGGAGCATGGCAGCTTAGAAGTGCACACAGAGTCTGTACATGTAATGAAGTATAAAAATGATAGATGGGTATAGAAGTTTTGTTAGGGAATAATCAGGAATCAAGTCCCTCACCCAGTCCCCAACATCTGTCTGGTAGAGAATGATTTTCAGCCTGTCTTCCAAAGTGTTTATTACAGCAGTCAAAAGTATTAGTGACATCAATCGGCAAGTATCAAATGGCAAATAGAGTTCATGTTGGAGCCTCATCATTTTGATGATCAGCAGCCTGAGAAATGTTTCCTACCAGAAACTGGAATGGCAGTCCTAAGGCAGATAACAAGATGCCACTTACAAAGCTGAGCTGCTTTTGTGCGATACAGGACACAATGTGAATGCCTCAGAAGCCAGCAACAGGGCTGGACTCCATCCAGCCCTACTTACAGCATGCCATCACTGCAGGGCCAGGGGTGGTGCCCTGCTTATCCACAGTGATAAATCCTCAAATCCTCCATGTGAACGAGCCCAGCGCCACTGTCAGGCTCCCAGTACAACCTCGCAGCAGGGTTTGGTTGCAGGGACTGCAAGATATTTGCAGCCTCTTGTCTGTATTTCTGTGGCATTCTAAGATTCTATAACAGTAGCACTGTTTACACGTTCACATGCCTGCACAGTTAAGCGTAAATACATTTGTTTTAAGGCCTTTTTCCACAGGAAACATGGGAAAAGAGTGTTAAGGTATGTTGAAAGGCTGAAATTCAAAGCTAAACAGAACAGCAAGCAGTCAGACAACAAAAGTATAAGATTAATCTATGCAGCTTTTTACTGGTTGGTCTTACCAATTCAGTGCAAAATCCTGATATATCTGGTCCCAAAATCTTAGCCCAGAACTAGTTTTGAAGTGTTCTCACTGATTGCAGTGTACCAGAGTTCGGTATATATTTCATTATACTTCCATCAAACTAAAGAAATGGGACATGATCAGGATTTCAGAAGAATCCTTCACAGATACAGCTAAATCCTGCCATCCTGTAGATGCAACATGCTTTGTCACCTACCAGATCATGCCTTGGTTAAAGATCAGTCCCAGCACATTTCCACTTATATCAAACTCAGAATATGATGGCTGAAAGAAATGATACGGATGTTTTCATTAGGTTTGCAGAAGGGTTTTTAAGATGACTTACAGTAGATTAAAACTCTCACTTCCAACAGCAGCAGTACATTGGTATCATTTTACAAGGGCTCTTGTTGCATCTTATCACTGAATCACAAAATAAATAGTATAACTCAAGGGCAGGAGGCAGTCTTCTATATAGTTTGCAGTATTTTACTGAAAATCTTTTTGATATTTGTTCAGAGCAAAGTGCCAAGGGAGACTTAAAAATTATTCTGGTTACTGGGTAAATTTTAAAACAACAATTCAGAAATTTTCCATTGGAGTGGCTAGTGGTGATCATGTAATACGTCTTCTTATACAATACCAGACATGATATTTAATGTGATTAATGTGACTTAGTGTGATTGAATACCTGATTGAACTACAGCATTATTTTTCATATTTCAGCATTTATACTGTTGAGGAATTTCTTTTAAGCATTGATAGATGTTGCCGATCATTGTTTTCCTTGCTTAATATGAATATCTTATCTATAAATTGAGTGTGTTTGATTTTAATTTTTACTTTAAGATTCAGCCATGGAGTCCCATTATTGATTTGTCTGTTGAAGAAAGCCCTGTATCATATATTTTTATTACCAGTGTAGACACATGTCACAAAAACTATTCAGTCTTATATTTCTGAACTCTTCATTTGACCCCTTCATTCTATTTTTCCAAATCTTTCATCATTTCTACATATGTTCTTTTGCCCTAATTATTAATTTCTTTTTCATGAATGTTTCCATTTGCAAACATTTAATACACTGAATTTAGGCAACGATTGAAATGCATCCATACACATTAGTATGTGTGCATATACACCAGAAGAAAACTTTCTGGTAAGAAATTATGGCTGTAAACTTTTTGCTTGCACCTAAATATCTGTTTCAAACATATTATTTATATGGTTTGCCTCCTCACAAAACCTTGTTCACTCACCTTTCTCATAAAAGAGTATTGCTACATCACATCTAGTAACTTGCATGAATCACAATATTGGAGGATAAAAATACCACAAATAATGTGTTATTTCTATGCATCAATTATGCTGATGACTGATAGAAGGAGTAAAGGGCATGAGATGCAAAAATAACTATTCCCTTATGGCTGAACAACAAAGTTATTCTATTGAAATCATCAATTAAAGCCATAATTTTGACTTATACTATGTTATGTTTCTGGAATATTTGAAGTCCCTACAGGTTTTCTGTGTAGTTTTGTGTATGTATACATATATATGCATATGTTTACAGTGATCTGCTAAACTTACGTTGCATGTATTTATGAATCTGCTTCCATACAAGTAACAATTTAATAGATTACTAATATTCAACTTGAAAAGCTGTAGACTAACAAGATCTGTATAAGACATAATATCAAAGCAACATGAAGAGAATTAATAGGATCACACAGAATCAAATAATGTATGACTGCTCTTGATAACATAGGGGTTAGTATTAACAAATAAAATAATTGGAAATCTAATTTTTAAACAGATAAAAGGAAGCAGTTTTCCCACACATGTAAGTTAATTTCTGGAATTCTTCACCAAAGGATACCTTGATTGTCAAAAATATTTAGGATATAGAAAAAGTTTAAAAATTAATGGATTCATGGTCACTAGCCACAGAGACACAAGTATAGCTAGTTCCTAAGCAGCCTTTTAAGATCAGATATTTTCACTGAATCAGAAATTCAGTGATTTCCAGTTTCAGCTTCTACTTGCAGCTGTTGTTTCAGGCAGTTTACTGGACCTGCGGACTGTAATGGACCAGACCATCACAGACAGTCCTATATACTGCCAATTAAAAATGTCAATTATAAGCTGGTTCCAGGATCCCCTTTGAGCAGATGTCTTGTTGGCAATTTTTCTGCCCATGCTGTATTCAAACTCCTCCATTTGATTTTGATATTGCAAGGGTTATAATTTGTTTGTGCACAGCCTGGCTGGCTGGTAGTCTCTCTCCAGCCCTACATCAGTACTATTTGAGGCACAATGTAAAACCTTTAAATAATGCTGAAATTTCGTAGGAGCCAGTGAGTAACAATGTGATTGCTGTATCAGATACCTGAGTTTTTAGAAGAAAATACCAAAACTTTCTCTTCCTCTGGAAAATTAACATTTCCAGTTTTTAATAAAGCAAGAAATTTCTACATTTAGGAAAGCAAAATTTTGAGGGAAGAAGGACATAATTATGACAGAACAGCTATGATGACTGGTTATGCAGATGTACCTATGATAGTCTTAAATTACTTAGCTCTTTTCTGTACTAAAGAGTCTTCAGGAACTCCACACGCTTTTACAATACCATGACTACTATTTAAGGATGGAAAGCAGCATCAAATCTTACAGTGTACATTTAGCAGGCAAATTTAGCCTAGGTCAGGTCAGAGTAAAAGTGTGAAAGTCTCAAGTCCCAAGTGAAAAGTTCTGTACCTTTACTAGGTTTACTAAGTTATTAACCTTACTAAGTTACCAACCTTACTAAGTTACCAACTTTACTAACTTTACCTAAGCTAAATTAATTCTAATAAAAAAATATATACAATAAGATTTCTAGAACAGGATCTTTCCTATATTTCTCCACAAGCACTGTGTGCTAGAAAACCCTATCCAAACTCCTGTACAAATCAATGTGATTGTATTCTGTGGAAGAGAGAACAAGTCTTCAAACTATAAACATGTGAGAAATATGTACTCAGTGTTCTTACACAATCAAATAAATTTTAAAACTAAGTTAACAAAATCTAAATAATACAAAAATATTAGAGCATATACAAATTCCAAGAAAAACTAACACAGGGATTTTGAAGATAAGGTGTCTAGCCAAAAATTAACTGTAGGATTGAAAGGAAAATGCAATTTGTTACGTAAATGTGAAGTAGTAGATAACAAAGACATTTAAAATCATATACTTACAAATCCATACTCCAAGTCCCAGCACCAGCAGTAATTGAAAAACCTAACAAAGACAGCTCTCAAAAAATCGCCAATTAGAATTGTGATGTATGTTGTCATCGTGTCAGACACTGTCAGGCGCACAAATTCCTGTTTAGAGCAATATTCTCTTTTAAGAATATATTTATGTAATTAATAGTTACAATAATAATGAAATACTGGACTAGATCTGTAATTGTGGTTATCCTGCTTTAGCATGGAAAAGACTCTGATCCTCTTCTACAATCACTTAATCTGTAACATGCCAAGAGAAATACTGCCCCTCATTTGCTAGAGGTAGCCCAGGTATGATTAGACTGGGAAAGATTTCCAGACAAGATTGCTGCTATAACAGAAATCTAAACTAATATCTTAAACTGCTGCAAATCCTCATTCCTCTACTTTTATTTTGGTATGTTCCAGTAAAGCCTATTGTAACAGGCCCAATAGTCCAAAGCTTACCCCAATAGTCCAAAAAGCTATTACTCTCCCTGATCTGAAATTAAGGGAAAAGTTAGTTCAGTGATGAGCTCTTAGTGTTAGCTTATTATTCAGCATCAGTGAAATGAATAGAGGGTCTGATTTTTCTCCCTATATGCTCCCTGCTGGTGATTTATTCATTCAGGAGGACAAATTGTCAGAGTGGTGGAGAAACAGCAAAAGTGATTCAGAATTGAATTTGCTTTTGTGGATAAAACAATAACAGCATAGTATGATCAAACAGAGTAAAAGAGTATGTTAGAAAATTGTTTGGAAACCACATTTTATATTGATGGGTTAATATGAATAAATACTCAACTGAATCAAAGAAAATAATTGAGCAGATTTACCATTAAATCACTATTGTTCTTTTACATTATTTTACTTATGCTAAAGACAGAGACAACTTCTCAAAAGCATACTGCTGTAAGAGCTGTCTTACACACACGTCCTTGTTTTTCAGAATTGCTAAACAGGTTTTGTAAGACAAAGATGGAATCAGGAAGAGGAAGATAAGTCAATAGGATAGTGAAAAGAAGGGTAAAAAAAGAAATGTTTTCAATGCTGTCAACTAACAGGAGAAAGAATTTCCTTCTAGACAGGGTTCAAAATAAAATAAAATAATTTTTAAAAAAAAATTTAGTGTAAGATAAGGTTCCACATCTGCTTCTGCTCACCTTTTCCCACCTTAATGACACACTAGCAGAAATAAAGAGGATTTAGACATCATATTGTGTAACTGACCTATTTTCAAATATGAGCTCAAAGCAGATATATTACCTGTCCCACCATTGTTTCCCAGCATGGCCCTCTGGGGACATCAGCAGGGTCCACCTGTATTGGAGGAGCAGTCGAATTTTCTGGAATAGTACCATTGTACAGACTGGCTTCCCATATTGTCATGTTATACTTGACTATCTTTTCTTCTTCCAACTAAGTAAAAAAATAAATTGGGAGAAAAAAAAAAAAAAAAACAAACCAAAAAACCAACATGAGCTTGTTACAAACTCCCAATGTGTTCTGTTCCAAGATTCCCATGTTAGTTCAGGCACGGATGTAATTTAAATATAGAAAGAAAAGTATGTCTTTCACTGACATGCCTCTGATTGATTGTAAGTCCTCATTTCCTCATTCTTGCCCAGTGACATGTTAAAAATAGTGAAGGGTAGTAAATATCTTGCCTTCAGATTGATTTCATCCATTAGGGCGATAATGAAAGTGTAGAGATTGCCAAGAAAAAGGGCAAAGATTCGTCCCAGCTGCCATCTTAGAGCTATTCGAGGGTGATAATTTTCCAGGGAACTGATTACATCAAACAAAGTTGGACAGAACATTCCTAAAAGTGACATAACCATGTTCACCTGTGGAGGAAGGGGAGAAAAAAGTTTACAGTGAAATGTTAGAAATTAATTCTTCTATTATTATTTATTTGGATGAAAAATCCACTACTACTTCACATTAGGGTTTTGATTTAATAAACAAAATCCACTCTTAAGTATCACAAGTTGTTTTCACAAAGGAAGAAAGGCTTGAAAAGTCAGTTGCAATCTACTTTAGATGGATATAAGATTTTTTTTCATTTTCCATTTCACATAAATTTCCAAAATATTCAAATGTTAATTATTCTGACTATAATCTACAATTTAACTAAAATTCTGCTCTAACAGGACGTAACAAAACCTATCTCTAGTACTGGTTTATGCTATCATCTCTACCACATTTTCCCCAAAGACAGACAGATATTCTATAAAAAGCTTTCCTATAAAAATACTGCACTAAATTTAATTTGTCTGAGATCTCACCCAAAATTAATTCTAGATGTCACAGAATCATAGAATCACAGAGTATCTCAAGTTGGAAGGGACTCATAAGGATCATCAAGTCCAACTCTCTGCTCTCCACAGGACTACCCAAAGCACGCAAAATAAATAAGAGTGTCATCCACACACCCTTTGAACTCTGACAAGCTTAGTGCCCTGACTACTTCCCAAGGGAGCCTGTTCCAGTGACTCACCACACTGTCTGTGAAGAACCTTTATCTAATGCCCAATCTGAATTTCCTCTGATGCAGCTTCATTCCCTTTCCTTGTGGTCCCCAGAGAGAGCTTAGTGCCTGCCCCTCTGCTGCTCCCCTTTGATGGGATCACCACTCAGCCTGTTCTTCTCCAAGCTCAACAGGCCAAGTGACCTCAGCTGCTCCTCTTTAGTCTGGCCTCAAAGCCTTTCATCATCTTGGTCACTCTGGACATGCTCTAATATTTTGATTCTATTGAAGCACCCAAACTGCACACGGGACTCAAGAAGGGGACACACTAGTGCAGAGCAGAGCGAGACAATCACCTCCCTCAATCCGCTGGTAATGCTGTGCCTGATGCACCCCTGGACATCGTTGTCCCTTTTGGCTGACAGTGCACTGCTGACTCATATTCAACTTTCATCTACCCAAATCCTTGGATCTTTTTCTCTGGAGCTGCTCCCCTCCCTCTCATCCTTCCACTGGTACCTATACCCAGGATTACCCTATCCCATGTGTAGAATCCAACACTTATTCTTGTTAAATTTCATGTGGTTGGTGACTTCATACAGCCCAGCTCTCTATCTCATATCTCATCTCCTCAGTTCGTAAGAAAATTCAGATCAATCCCTCTTCTTTCTGCCTGATTTTCTTAGAAACCTCTAATAAAATTAACTCATCGTCTTAGCAGTATGGAAATGGAGCAATTTTACTGAAACAAAACAAAACAAACAAAAACCACAAGGCATAACTAGTTTTTATGGAAAACTAAAAATACAACATAACTCATAAATGTTACAGATGAGTGAGACATTCCAGTAATGTGACATTCCGAAGTGATTGCTGAAAATTATTTCAAGTCTACTTGAACCTTTTCATTCTAATTCATTTTGCCAGCCATAAATGAAAAGGAATGAAAAAGTTTAAGAGTGCAGTTATTCATCTTCAATGTGAAATAACACTCTATTACAAAAAATGTGTCAGTAAGGGACTAAAAACAATAAACAAGAAACAGGAGATATTTTCTCAATCTAAGTCATAAAAGTTGTTAGAAAGCACAAAGATGTTTATTTGAGATTAATCATACTTGAACAACCAAGAAGAATTACTTGATTTAGTCACAAAAAAAATTAATTGTTCACAGGACTGTAGTCTTCTAATTGCTCTGCAACAAGCTTTTCTGAGCCATGCTTGAATCCATTTTGCTAGAACAAGTATAAACTTTTAAAAATTTCTGATTTCCTGCTGCCAAGAGAGTTGGAACTGCTCTTGCTTCTTGGAAATAATATGGCAGTAGAAAGGCACTATACCAACAAATAAATTCATTCACTTGTAAATGTGTATGTTCCCACTACTAAAAATTTACATACATTTGACTGGTGTTCTTAATGAATAGAAATAAATAGTTTTCTTTTTGTTCTTTTTATATTCTTGGTTTTCAATGACTTCTAGAGCTAATAAATGGATTTTTTTTTTTTTGCACTTGTAGGCAACTAGTGTATTCTGTGCATGGCTTGTGGCACCCCCTGACAATTATGTAGATATTATATTAATGATTACAGGAATTCACTGATTTTTATTTATTTATTTATTTATTTAGATGGCATTATTTGTAATTAGAATTATCTTGTTAAAGTAATAAGTCACTGTTACTGCATAACATTCAAAAGAGAAACAACCAATCAAAAACTTGTAGCTATCATCTGTTGCATCACTTGGATTTATAACTTAAAAAGACAGGATTTACATTTGAATGACCTGCTACCTTTTACCTTATTATATTAACAGTTCTGTTGAGTTTCATACATTAGTGCTTTGAATAAATTTTCAGTTATGAGAATTGTTGATATTCCTATTTTTTGGTGTTTATAGTAGGTAATGAGAGTTTGGTAGTAAAAGTATTCATTAATTTCTCTTTGTACTGAACTGCACAAACTTCTTGATTTTAAGGTCTTCAAAGTATCTAATATAGTTTACAACACATTGTCTTAGTCACCATCAGACCTAAGAAATTATGCTCAATATAGCCCAAAATGGCAACGAGTCAACTACAGGCAGTGTGACTAACCACAAATTCCTAAAATTCAGACTAATTGTAACCAGATGTGTATCCTGTTTATCAATAGAAATGTTGGGTCTTGTTGTGGTGCTGAAGTCTTAAATCAAAATCCTGACTGACTCTGGGTCTCATATTCTCCTGAGGGAATAAGTCCCAGAGGCATATGTGTGCATAAGAGGAGATGTTCTGGGTCATACCAAAGGCTGGTGGAGGCCAACAGGTACCCAGGGATGAGCAATAACAGGGCAAACGTAAATAAATAAGTCATAGACTACAACTACATAAAGTTTGGGAACTTATTCATTCAGGTCTGTTCATTATGCATCAAGGAACACACAGAGGATTTCTCTTTCATAAATCTTCACACAAAAGTAAATTTTGGTACCCATAGCACTGGCATCCATCATCTACCATTCCTTCCCTTTTGCTTTTTCTGAACCTGGCTTCTACTTAATTTATTTTATGTCCCTTAGTTCCCATACTGGAATACACAGTAAACATATTTTAGGAGAAAAGGTGTGTCCTTTGGGCAGTACTACATATAGTACCTGTAAATTTTATTGAAAGTTTTCTTGTTGTTGCATCTGCGAGGCAGGACAGAAGGCACTGCTTTTTTTTCTCTCAAACATTCACTTTCTATATTTTTATTATTTTCTGTATTTTTTACCACATATCTGAAGTATGTCTGTTTTTTCTCATTTGCTTTCCATCTCCATTTTTCCATGCCTTGACTGCTCATGCTCCCCATCTCTAAAGCACTTCTAATTTTGGAGAACAGATGCTATTAAGATAAGAAGCGAAATGAGGCACAGCAATTTGAAAGTTGAAAAGTGAGAAATTATTACAAATGAAAATGCAAAGCTTTAATGAGGCAGAATGCAACATATTGATTTTTCAAAATACAAAAACCATGATGGCGTTCTAAATTTCAAAAGTATAAACTTTTCTCATATATTTTCAAAGATATAGTAACATTATACTTTTAGCATTCTTGTGAAGGGTTTAACTTTCCTGTGAAGAGTTTTACTGAAAAAAACATCAGCCATTAATTTTACCCACTGTTCTATTTCTAGTTAAATTTCAGAAAAGGAGTTGATTTATATTCTGGACTTCTTGTCAACTTGATGCTCAGTTGCAGATTTTCTTCCCCTCATTTTACCACTGAGAGTTTCGCTGTTCTCTGTGACTTAAGAATTGTGGAATGATATGCCAGAAGAGGGGCAGCATGCCAGCATGCACACAGGATAGAGTTGTTGTTGACAGTCAATGTGGTTTTTTATTCACTATCTGCTGAGTAAATCTCAAAAACCCTCTCTGCCCCACTGAGATAGAACTTTTGCTAAAAAAGCAACAACAGCCAAGAGGCAACCACTGATTATTAAAACTGTGGTTTGAAGGACATTTTTTCTCTCTTTAACATTAATTGATCTGGGTACCAAGTGCTGGTGTTACATTCTGAAAGCTAGGAATTTTATGCTTACAGGAGCTTTTCCAATTGCTCTGAATCTGCTAAGAAATCCTGTCACTATCTAAATCACATCTAAATACCAGGCCCATTAGTATACCAAACTGTGCCAACACAACATTAAATATTGAACAGTCACTGATTGTTGGTTGAATGATAACTTCATTAAGAGTAAGCCGTCAAGTTAAAATAAATCATAATTTCCACTAACAATGATTGCAGCAGTCATAGGTTTGTCTAACAGCTGCTGCAGAAAACTTTAAAATGCTTTTCTAGTAAATAATTTCAATTTTTTAAAGAAATCAGATTAAGAAATTATATTTCATAATAATAAAAGCTGCCTAGTTATTTCTGGAATTAAATAGATAATTTACAACGTAGCATAATAATTCAGTATAAGTGTTCTTATATTCTGTTCCAGTTCTAGGAACATTAAATAGCAAGATATTTTTGATTCTGACTCTGATTCAGAGGAATCAGTCTGTCTCCTCATATGTTTTCTCAGCTTTTAAGTAGCTTTATTTTTAAAAAGTACAATAATATATTTGAGAAAACAGGGTACATGGTACCAAAGAGATTCTCATACTACATATTATCACTGCAAGCTATCTTCTATCAAATGAGAAAAGTCAGTTTCATTCAGCAATTTTTATCCAATTACAGAACACTTTGCCAAGGGAATTGGTGGCTTTATTCTCCTCTTTACCAAAATTTCCAGAATCATGGGAAAACTGGCACGCAGTGCAGGATCATCATTCATCCACGACCAACCACCAGGCCACAGCCTCACAGGAGGAAGGATGCAATGGCTGATGAAATCCACTCATAGTCTCAGTCTGCCTATTTCCACTAACTTCCTCGTCTCCAGGACACACTATGCAATTGTATTTGGACTAAGTTCTGATAGAACTATGTTCTTACTGCCAATACGGAGAGGGAGTTAAAAAATTTACAACATTATGAGAGAGGAGGAGAGTCAGAAAGAAAAAGCTCCTTTCCACAGAGTCACCAGAAACACTTTATTATGCTATGAGCTTCAGCAACCGATGACAAAAAATGTACCCTGGATTGCTCCATGAACACCATAATTGCATGTAAACAGTTTTCAATCCCTTAATGCATCCAGTGTGACGAAATTTCCTACAAAAGGAGCCTAATAATTTTATGAAGAATGTAAATTTTTACGTACCAGCACTTGCATTGTGTGTTAAGAGCTGCACTTTCATTTACTCTAAGTAATACAGTAAGTGTAAATGGGATTTTTTTCTGATCAAAATCTCTATTCATCTATTAATGATGCAAACATAAAGAAATTATCTATACAATAAGAAAAATGTGTAAATGTCTGCTACATAGGAGCCAAATATATTTATGGAATTAAATATTAATATCCAATCTAGTGAAATGTTTTCTACCTCATAAATATGTTCTACCTGTCAATAGGAAAAATTCTTCAGCCAGATAATGTCAGTGTTGCCTTAATCACTCTCTTCTAGAGACACACTTGCTCTGTAGTTCTGTGATACAATGTCTCCTTAGCAGTACTTTTTTGTTACACAAACAAAACTATAGCAATGAACATAAATACATGTGACTTACTTTCCAGACTGCAGTATAAACTAATATAACAGCTTTTGGTAGCACAGGTCTTGTTAGTACAAGTCTATTACCACACCTTTCAAGTGATAGAAAACTGAATTCCTCCTGAACTGTTTTCCTCTGCTAATCTGTTGACTTGCTTAGGGTTTGTGTTGCTTTAAAGCAGTTTTGTACATGATTTTTCTTTCCCATCAGATCAACACGTAAGAACAAGTAACTTAGTCCTGTCTCAACAACACTATGTTTCCAGATTCCAGAGGTGGAATGAGATTTTAATGTTACTTTCTCAGTCAGATTTTGGTGTTGAAAATCCCAAATTGATTTACCTTGTTCCACTGTTGCTCATCTTATCAGCTTTGTGAGGCTACCTTATCTTAAATCCAGTATGTACTTTATACTCCAGCTCAGAAGGTAAGCTTTAAGTAACAAACTCATTTTATAACACGCATGGCAGTACCCTTGCTAAGAAAATACAACTTTTCCAGGTTTTAATATGACAACACTGACTTCAGATGCACGCTGCACACTGTCATAGCAAATGCAATCACTGTCATCATTATACCCCTCTGTCAGGCAGGCTGCATCTGCTTTAGAAGAAAGCATTAGGCACAGATTAGGCAAAAAGAAATGGTATAGGACCCTTAAGGGCAGATGGAATGGGAAGGCTTGAGTTTCAACCTGCTGCTACACTGCAGAGTTGTATCCATGAAGCCCCAGATAACTTTGTGCCCACACACCAGTCACTTTGCTTGGGCCAGTCTCAGAGGAAAGCATGAGGAAACTGGGTTCCTGAGTAGAGCTTGTGAATCCATGGAGTGTCTGGAAAACAATCTTAAGAGCACAGAGGAGGAAACATAAAGGTCTCAAATGAAAACTAAATATAAAGCATTGTATCGACATTTGAAAGAAGCAACCAAGAAATTTTATGAAGCAGGAGTCAAAAGCAATTCTTTTGTTAGACATTTACCACCCACACTCAGAATATTTAAATATCAGGAAAAAAATGCAACATGCAAAGCAGAGGAACACAGCTTCAAACCACATCTATTATAGAAATGTGCTAGCACGAACTTCATTTCTTTCCCACCACCCGTAGTTCTCCAGACCTTCCAAGGCAAATTTCTGGGATCTTCTGACAACAAAAAAGATGAGGTAGCCACTTCCAGCAAGTGTGCATAGGGCTAAGAAGTTAGCAAGAACCCTCAGAAATCGAGTCAAGTGAATATTTTCCTCTTTTCGGCTCTCCTGCTCCTCCACGATTGCTTCCTGCACTTGTTAGAAAGAAAAAAATATTATGAATACTTTAATGATCAAGGCCCCACATTACTTCCTAAATTGTTAGAAGTCAGTTAAACAAATTACAAAGATGCAAATGCACATCTGCGCTTCATGTTTTGAGATGAGCTTAAATTATCTCATAAAATCTTATTTAGGCCCTGGCAAGTTCTGGGGATCTGGCTCCCTGGGCTTTGCTTTGCCTTTGTTTAGTGTGTCCCCACTGAGTCTTGTTATACTTGTACTCATGTGCCAACAAAAAACCAGTACGTTTTGTCAGCTTGCAAGGTGATATGAGGCTGAGTGACACAGCAGGATAGATGTGTGATTATCTGTCAGCAAAGAACTGTCACACTTTAAAAATGTGCATTTGTGAGAAAAGAGGAAAAAGTTTCATTCTGAAAGTCAGCAATTTGGAAGGAATAAAAACACAGTCCAGACGTAGGAATCCCAAAAGAGGCAGACTTCAGAATAAAATATTTGCCCCACACTTACCCTTGGCCATGACTGATAAATATTAAGACTGGTGTAACTGTAGTCTTCAGCTTTTTGCTGCAGAAGGAGCTTTACTGTGGAGTGTCCTCATGAAAGGGAGTTCGGTTACAGAGATCAGTTGCCCAGAGGGGAAGCTGAACTGCTGCATTGTAATAATTGCCCTGCATGGCTCTGCTCTTTTTACAGCTTGCATTTGTCACATAAATGAAAGGAGATTGCAGTAGCTTTTGAACAGAACTCCAATGACCTCACCCAAGTCAAGACTTCACCCTTTATCTTTGAGGTTCTTTGCTCATTTGCAAGGATCACTGTAAATCTTCATGAGTTTATTTCTCAAAAATAAACCTTTGTCTCAATTGATTTGTTATCTTCCCCAAATATCTTTCAACATGTAAGGGGGTACATTTGAATTAGATGATCAATGAAGCATAGGGGGTGATAAAGAAAATCACCCTAACAGTCCTGAGTTAGAGCTGATATGTGACTGGGTCCTAGGAGAGCTCCCCCTGAGAAACCAATCAGCACTGGTTTTTTTCACTCCTGTGAAAGTTAGATATACACAGCTTGCCAGAAGTGAGTTGGCAGAGTTGGCAGTTGGCAGAGTTGTGTGTGAGAGTGTGAGAGAGAGACAGTAGCTGAGAGGTGGACGGAGGCCCCCCCACTCGGAGGGGGGGTGCCCATGCCCCCACGGCAGGGCTGAAGGCAGCCGTAAGAGTGTGTATGTGTTGTGAGGGAAGAGACTCACAGCCATGAGGTAAGAGGGAGACAGAGGCAAGCCCTTTGTGAGGAGGGCAGGCCCTCTTCCCCCCCCTTTGCAGCTAGGCTGTGGGCAGCTTGGGACAGTTATAACTGGACCGAACGCCTGTAGCTAAAGCTGGGTGGGGGCCTTTCCCATCACTGTAGGTGGGAGTGGAATGTAAGGCTTAGTATTTGAAGCTGAGCCAAAGAGGGCGGGTTGAACGCTCGGTGCCAGGAGGAAAAAAACTCCAGGCTAAATTGGAGATGGGCCAAGCAGGCTCGGAGGGTGCCCTGCAGAGGTTTGGCCAGGGGCAGCCAAAAACTGACGGAGGAGGAATGAATCCTGGAACACGTCCACGTGACAAGCCGAGCTGAACTACAGCAGCTACGGAATGGAGGGAGAGAGAGAGTCACACAGCAGAGATTGGCATGGAACCAAGGAGGACGGTCTCAGAGCTATCTTCTTGGACTTTGTGAGGAAGAAAAGACCTCAGCAAAGATCTGGAGGTTGGTGGGGGGTGATCAGAGAAACCCTTCTCCCTGATACCCCAATGAGAGAAAGACTGTTTACCTATCAGCCTGAGGGCTTCTCCTGAACTGATTGTGGGAGGGGCTAAAAGGGATGATAGAAGTGTGTTAATACGGTATATATATTGTTGCTTTTAGTTTGTACAGTATTTATTTTGTACAGGAATAAACTGTATATTTTCCCTTCCCCCATACAGAGGTGTGCCTGCCTAAAAATTTCGCTGTTGAGGTAAATTGTGGGGAGGTGTGGGGAAGATAGAAAATTGGATTTTTGTGGGGGTCAAACCACCACAATGATACACAGATGTGTCCCAGAGACCCCAGTGTAAAAACTCATTCTTTCACACTCAACATATAGAATACATCCCCTTCATTGTTTTCACGGTGGTGCATCTCGCTCCTTGCCCCAGATTCCTCACACAATGACTCTTGAAATCAACATACCTGTACAGTGAAAAGAGGCATTGTTTTGCAAATTGGGCTACAGTTCGTAATTAATTTGAAAATAAAAACATTACATTGTGCAAGGAAAGTAACCTTCTTTTCTTACTGAAAAGCAGGTATACACTCAAAATTCTGAGGCCAATTCTTATGACATGATAAATAGCCCTTTATAGATGATTCTATTACTTTATTTTGTGATATCTCTTCTCTGTAACAAGAGAAGATGGTAATGTGAGGTTAGCAATATATGACCAACATCCAAAAAAAATTTTTTCAGACAAGTGCCACAGAAATGGGAAGCCATCAGAGATGAGAAAAAGGGAAATAGTATTTTTACAGCAGAATAATTTTTCTAAAGCTTGTACTGTCAGCATGGAGGACACAAAACATGATAAACTTTTTTCTTCCAAAATTAAAATGAAAAAATAAGATGACAAGGCACAAAGACTGAGATTCAGAAGGGTATGATGCCAGTTCAAGTTTAAGTTTCTAGGCCACGGGCACAACTTAGTTCCATCTGATTCATGTTAATGTGAAAGACAAATACCGTTACCTCTCCTTAGTGAGCTCTGTTTTACCTTAAAGCTTGTTGTGATGGAGGCAAACTTATTATCTGCTGTCTCAGGATTGCCAATCAGGTAGTCCCAGCTTGTAAACATTTTCCAGCTGAAATTAAAACTAGTATCATCTCCACCACCGTCATCATTTGCATTTCTTGCCATTCTACAAAAGGCAGAAAGACATGGGCAGACCTTGTTAGAATTAGTTCTACTTTGTGAGCATGATTTTTAAATTGTTCCTTAGTTTTAACATTTTCCTGAAAACAAACAAACAAACAAACCAAACCCTGTATCATTCTTGCTGTCAGTTGTTTTACTAAATTTTTTCTAAAAGCAAAAAGAAACAAGAGAAAAGGATGGTGATTTTCATATTTAGACAATTTATGAGCTCACAACACACAATTTGATGAGGAAGAATGAATGTACTTCATTAACACCTTGACAAAACTCTGCTCAATAAGAAACACAGTGGAAAAACAGAAAGCTGCAGAGCATCCTGAACTGCAATAAATTTTATTGGAGACTTTGCAAAGAGAAAAAAGAGAAAAATTATAATAAATAAAATATTCTAAAAAAAAGTATTCTAAAAACAAAACAAACAAATAAATACAAAAAAACCTTGAAAATAAATAAATATATCGAAGAGTATAATAAATATTCTAAAATAACAAGCCAGAACAAAATCTGGTTATAGCATACAAAATATCACTAATAGAGCTTTCTATCTCCTATACACATACAAAAGATATTTATAATAGTATGCAGAAACATCAGATTATTTCTTCAGAGAAATATTTTTTCAGATTTGACTTAATCTGGACTATGAAATTCTCTGTTTCAAAGGGTTTTCATTCATGTAATAACCATGATCTTGCTTCTGCATAGTTGGTCACCTAATTCAAATCATTAAGCACAAGGATGAAGTGTATTGGTAGGGGAAAAATCATTTAGCCTTCAATAACATATTTATTTATCAGTGACAAAAAGGCAACACCTATTTTATAGCTCACTAGTGCAGCAGAGTTATTTTATTAATATTAATATTAATGCATTCTACATACCACATTTTTAAGAGACCATATACTCTCAAATCTAGGAGGAGAATAGTAAGTAAATAATACAGAAAATCCTTTGAGCTGCCATAAATCAATACCAGGGTTGGTTATATACAGAAGGATCAGAGATCATGGAAGATTCTTCGGAGGATCTGCCCTGCTTCTAGTTTATAGACTAAGATAATTCCTTCTCAAGAGTTTCTAATGAAATAATGAATAGTCTTGTGGTTAAAATACAATTTCTTTGGAATCAGAAATGTTTCAATTTTATGTTGTGCACTATAAGAGCTGAAGAGAGCAACCCTTTATGTAAATATTTCCCTTAAACAGAATAATAATGTTTATAATCCTCACTATCTCTTTCAGGTAGATATTTCCTTTCCCAGTTTTCAGTCAGCAGCACCTCCTGTTACACTGCTCTTAGTTTCACTGCCCACTGTGCTTCTTTCTGGAGAAACAGAAAAGAGCAGAAGTCTGCAAGAACTCTCATATGATTATCTAAATGTTGGTCAGCATTAGTGTCATATGGCCAGATGGAAAGTTAGCACATACAACGTATTTTTGACTCAAGGATATTCCCTTGTTTGGGCTATAGGGTTTTTCTGCTAGAAGGCATTTATTTATTTTTGTCTGAGTGACAGTCATTGAAATAAAATTATTGGAGACTAAAACTTTTCTAATCATTATAAAAAATATTTTAAAATATATTTTTGAACTAAATGAATTGCTCTTTTATTGTGGTAGTCTGTTTCACCTCCAAAAATACATATATGTGACTGAAGACTTTTTGTTTTTTCTTTTCTTTTTTTCTGAAATGTTTCTTGCCCCACGTAGGAACCAGTTTGAAAAACAGAATACGAATTAATCTAGTGCTCATGCATATGAAAAATACTGCCTTCAGCATGAAACAGTGGAAATAGATTAATTGCATTTTTCTCTATATTTACAAATATCTTTGAATCTTGACCTGCAACACCATAGGCATTTTGTGAAGCCACCGCTAAGGCTAACTATATTACTGTGTTAGATGGTCATTTTGTTTGAATCAAGGGTACTAAAGATTATAAAAATTGGCGGCATTTATTGCTGACTGTGAGCTACACACAGAATTATTTGCCATATGCTTCTTTCCTGCTTTGTAAAATAGTTTAGTTCACATAAGGTATCATTAAATGTAGAACAATTGAATTTCCTGAATGTTAGCTGACAAGTATCATGAAAAGATGCCAAGTATTATGGAAAGATGGGCTAACAGCTCTCTTCCTTACTTTCTGCATTCATTTTTTATTCTGAAGATCAGGAGAGAAGTGGGGTTTTTTATTTCAGTAAAGATCTATTCCCACTTTCACAACACTGTAACACAAGTGTTGTGAACAACGGAAAAATAATATAGGTTAAAGGAATCTTACACAACTCTGACCTTGCACTTGATCTTGCATTGCCTTGTCCTTACAATTACCGTATTTTTAAAAAGACAGTCTCAGGGGTCCACAGTTGAATTATTTGCTTCTTTGAATTACTTTATTCCAGAGCCAAGGAACACTTACGTTCGAATGACAATCATAAAGCTGTAGCCAATAGTCCCAACCCCAACAAGGAAATACGAAAGAGGCATCCTGAACTTGAGCCATCCAATTGTCCTCTGGTTATTGTAATAACCATAAAAGAGTACAGAATACTGTGCAAAGCCCTGAAAAGTCAGAAAAAATTATAACGTTACGTGTCTTAATTATGCTTATAGTCACCAACTGTAACAATAGCAATGTACTGAAACATTAATTTCAGTGAAATCAAGTCAGTTGTAAGCAAAACTATAATAAATCTCACAGGATGGAAAAGGTCCCCTTTTTTTAAAAAAGACATAAAATATTTCATAGCAACTTCAAAATCTTTCATCTTTAAAACTCTTCGTGAACACTCCGTCTACAATTTAATGAGTTAAAACTTCTTCATCCACAAACTTCTTGTAAAGACAAAAGTATATTGTTTTACAAAATTTATTTTTCAGATTGTGAGCAGATTAAATGCCAGATTTTTAACTTAATATTCACATTTCTAAAATTTGCTTACATATCCTATTTGATATGGAATTCTTCTACGTGTTCGTTGTCTGATGGGTAATCATTCAATATATATTAACCAGTAGGTTGCTGCATTTTATGGGTGATTATTCAGTAGGTAGGGTTTTTACACATTTAGAGTAAACCCCAAGGCTATAAAAATTGCAATATGAGTGCACTGGCTTTCTCAGCAATTAAAAGTGTATCTTCTTTTCTAAATACCTTAATAGGAACTGCCCTCTCTTCTACAGCTCAGACTGTTGATTTTTCAGAATAATTTACTAGTATCTTATTAACTGTAAGAAATTGCTGGTATCAACATGGATAAAATATCTAAAACTTCCTGATAATTCTCAGAGCAAGAACTCACCTCCTAGAAGAAGATCAAAACCAGAGCCTTTACAAGCTCAGCTTAGCTCATGCACAGCAATGGCAAAGCTCCAGCTGGATGTGAGTATTTCAAGCCAAATACATAGTATTTGAACATGTAATTAGAGGATGGACGATGCATTATTTTGATGGTAATACAACAAGCTGGGGGGGTTGTGAGTTAAAAAAGCCATATGTTTCCCTTCTGTTTTTCAGTTGCCCATTTTCCTTAAAATTAATAACGTCTTTCTCTTATATATTATATATTATGAACTTTTTGAGTTGCTGTGTTCTGCAAAGTTAAAGATAATTCCTTCACTGTGTGTCATTGACCATATTGATTCCTGGGCTTTGTCAACTGCATTTCACTGTAAAATTTGAAACAACTTTAGCTCTGTAAAGGTAGGCATGCATGGAAGATATCTTTCACTCCCTTGTAAGCCAAGCATGAAAGAGTATTGATCAAATATTTTATTGTAATAAGCTTTGTGAGTCTGATTTTTTTTTATGTTTGGACTATTACCTGAAAAATATATGTTAAAACTGAATTTTAATTAATATCTATTAAAAGCCAAAAGTGTTTCTCTTTACCATGTCAACAATACCAAAACAATCTCAAGCAAAAAAAAAAAGCAAAAGATAGACTGTGTTCATCTTTTATTTACCATCTTAGGGACTAGTGGGGTTGGAGGTTTTTGCATTTTTGTTGGGTTTTTTTACAGGGATGAAGTAATGATTGGTGATGTGTTCATATATTTGTAACATACTTGGTAACATACAAGTACTGGTAGCAGATTAAACATATTATCTCCTGTGCTGTTTAAACAAAGATGTCATTGTCTTAAGGGAATATTTGTCAATCTGACATGCCTAAAGAAAATTCTTTCTTTCCACTCAATATTTCAGGGGATCCATCTCTTTCATTGCCTAATTCTGTGTTTATTGCATATGCATTTGCTCCTTGTGTAAACTGTTACTTTTTTGTTTATTACACTTTCTTTTTCAGAGCTCTCATGTTCCATTTCTCATAATTATTATAAACTTCTCCTGTCTTTCCACAATGTCTGCATTCATGTTTTCTCAAATACATTTCTTCTAAAAACATTGTTTCAATCTTCTGTAAAAAGCACTTCTAGTCTCTATTCTCTTTAAAAAATCTTCAAGTTACTGTAGCTCCTTTTGACTCAGATATCTCTCTGACATTTTAATTTCTCATTTTAGCTTCCCAGCTCCATGTCTAGATATAATCTTACTGTCACTCAAAAATACAGCTTCTGATGTATTAGATGTAATACCAGTTCATGAAGCAGTCATTGTAAAATGTTATATACGTAGATTTTTAGAAAGATCTTTCTATCCTTTTTTTTATCCTAGAAGAGTCTATCACTGACATTGTATGTAATAGAAAGGTTAGAATGTATGGAGCCCACAGTTGGCAATGGCACAGTTGAGAGCCTCTGGGTAAGAATCAAGGGGCAAACAAATAATGCCGATGTCATTGTGGGAGTCTGCCATAGACCTCCCAGCCAGGATGATGATGCCAACAATCACTCTTTGAGGAACTAAGGGACACTTCCAAGTCAACCGCCCTTGTCCTTATGGGGGACTTCAACTTCCCAGAAATGAACCAGGAGCATCACACAGCTGGTACAACCCAGGCCAGAAGATACCTAAAAAACCTGGACAACAGCTTTATAGAACAGGTCCTAAGGGAGCCAGCTCAGAAAGATGCCCTCCTTGGTCTGCTGCCTATCAACAGAGGGCATGTCGTGAGAGAAGAGGAGACTGGTGGTTGTCTTGGCCACAGCAACTATGAACTGATTGAGTCTAAAATTTCTGTTGACAGGGGGAAAAGTGCCAGCAAAACCTCAACTCTGGACATGAGGAGAGCAGAATTCAGGCTGCTCAGGGAATTAGTAAGGAAGGTCCCCTGGGAGAAATGTTTTTGCAGCTGCTGAGGTCCATCAGTGCTGGTCACTTCAGACCACCTCCTAAGGGCACAGGAGCAGGCAATTCCCAAATGTTGGAAGTGAAGCAGGCAAGTCAGAAGGCCAACTTTGCTGGGCAGGGATCTTCCTTGGAAAGACGACAAAAAAGGAAGGTATATGCCCTGTGGAAGCAAGGCCAAGTGGGACTGGATGAATTCAGAGATGCTGCTTGCCATTGTAGGGAGAAAATTCATTTGGCCAAAGCTTGACTGGAGTTGCAGCTGGCCAGAAATGTGGAGGATAATAAAAAGAGTTTTTTCAAATCTATGAATAGGCAGTATAGAAATATTACTGGCCCATTAAAGGATGAGGATGGTCACCTCACAAAAAGGAACAGAAACAAAGCAGAGGTGTTTAACACCTTCATTGCCTCTGTCTTCAACATCAATGATGGATCAAGGGGGTCTCAGTGCCCTGAGCTGCAAGACTGTGACTGAGAGATTGATCAACTCCCAGCTGACCTGGAAATTGTGCAGGATCTGCTGGTCCAGCTGCATCCCTACAAATCTATGGGGCCTGATGGGATTCATACCAGAATCCTCAAAGAACTGGCTGATGTCAGTGCAAAACCTCTGATGTTTTTTGAGTGGTCTTGGGAATCTGAAGAGGTCCCAGCTGACTGGAAGCTGGCGAACATTGTTCCTATTTTCAAGTAGACCAAGAAGGAGGAGCCTGGAAACTACGGGCCTGCCAGTCTCACTTCAGTGCCTGGTAAAGTTACGCAGAAGATTATTCTGGGAGGTATTGAAAAACATACGAAAGACAATGCAGTCCCTGGTCACAGCCAGCATGCCTTCATGAGAGGAAAGTCCTACTTATCAAACCTGATTTAGTCTCCTGATTTAGTCTTATGAAAGGTAACTCATCTAGTTGCTCAAGGGAAGCCCGTTGATGCAATCCTTTTGGATTTCAGTAAAGCTTTTCATACTGTCTCTTACAGCATCCTTCTAGACAAAATGTCCAGCAGACAGCTGGATAAACACATCATGTGGTGGGTGAGCAATTGGCTCACGGGTCAAGCACAGAGAGTAATAGTGACTGGGGTAACATCAGTGACTTGTCCCTAGGGGGGTTCTGTAGGGATCCATCTTAAGTCCTGTGCTCTTCAACGTCTTCGTAAATGACTTGGATGCAGGATTGGAAAGGATACTAAGCAAGTTGGCAGACAATGCAAACCTGGGAGGAGCTGTTGACTCTCTCAAAGGCTGGGAGGTCCTGCAGGGAGACCTTGACAAATTAGATAGATGGGCAATCTCTAATCATATGGAGTTCAACAAGAGGAAGTGATGGATTGCTACAGGCTGGGGACAGAGTGGCTGGTGAGCAGCCAGACAGAGAGGGATCTGGGAGTTTGGATTGACAAGAAGCTGAACATGAGCCATCAGTGTGCCCAGGTGGCCAAGAAGGCCAATGGCATCCTGGCCTGTATCAGGAACAGTGTGGCCAGCAGGTCCAAGGAGGTGATTATTCCCCTGTACTCAGAGCTGGTGAGGCCACACCTCGAGTACTTTGTCCAGTTCTGGGCCCCTCAGTTCAGGAAGGATATTGAGGTGCTGGAGCAGGTCCAGAGAAGAGCAACTAGGCTGGTGAAGGGACTCAAGCACAAATCCTATGAGGAGAGGCTGAGGGAGCTGGGGCTGTTCAGCCTGGAGAAGAAGAGGCTCAGGGGAGACCTCATCACTCTCTACAACTCCCTGAAAGGAGGTTGTAGCCAGGTGGGGGTTGGTCTCTTTTCCCAGGCAACTATCAGCAAGACAAGAGGGCATGGTCTTAAGTTGTGCCAAGCAAGGTTTAGGTTAGATATTAGAAAGAATTTCTTTCCAGAGAGGGTGATCAGACATTGGAATGGGCTGCCCAGGGAAGTAGTGGATTCTCTGTCCCTGGAGATTTTTAAAAAGAGACTGGATGTGGCACTTAGTGCCATGGTCTAGTAACCACAGTGGTAGTGGATCAAGGGTTGGACTTGATGATCTCAGAGGTCCCTTCCAACCTAGCTGATTCTATGATTCTATGATTCTATGATTCTGCACCTGGGATGGGGCATTCCTGGCTGTTGGTATAGACTGAGAAATGAGATGCTGGAAAGCAGTGTCATGGAAAGGGACCTGGGGGTCCTGGTCGACAGCAAGTTGAATATGAGTCAGCAGTGCCCTGGCAGCCAGGAGAGCCAACCGTGTCCTGGGAAGAATGAAGCCAAGCATCCCCAGCTGGATGAGGGAGGGGATTGTCCTGCTCTGCTCTGCACTGGTGGGGCCTCACCTTGAATATTGTGGCAGTTTTGGGCACCACGATATAAGAAAGATATTAAGCTATTAGAGAGTGTCCAAAGAAGGGCAATGAAGATGGTGAAGGGTCTTGAGGGGAAGCCGTCTGAGGAATGGCTGAGATTACTTGATGTATTCAGCCTGGAGAAGAGGAGACTGAGGGGAGACCTCATTGCAGTCTACAACTTCCTGATGAGAGGAAGAAAAGGGCAGGCACTGATCTCTTCTCTGTGTTAACCAGTGATAGGACCTGAGGGAATGGCCTGAAATTGTGTCAGGGGAGGTTTAGGTTGGATATT